ATTATTATTATTATTATTATTATTATTATTATTATTATTATTATTATTATATTTTCTAAGGATGGACTCCATATTGCGTGCACCTAAAAATTATAATCACATTTTTAAAATTGACATAAACTCCTCCACCCTATAACTTTGTTTTAAATTAAAGTCAAGGATAAAAATAAATTTAAAAAATCAATTTAAGTTTTTTAATTACATATTTTTATTTTTTTAATGCAGGGATAATTTAGTGGAGCACATTTTGTATATTTTGTGCAAAAACAATTAGAACCTTTGAGCTCAAATTGAAATTAAATTTATTTTAAAAAAATATTTAATTTGAAGATTTTATTTAAATTAAATTTTTTTTTTAAGCAGCCAATATTTAGCCCAGATTTAGACGTTTTTAAGAACCAAATGATCTTTTTCTCCTTATTTTTCCTGCTGGACATTAGAGTCAGGGCTTCATCGCCTCTGCAGATTATTCATCTTTTCCGTTCGATTAAGTTTTCAGGCGACTCTAATTTGTCCCAGTCTGCAGCTGGAGCTGCTTGGTGGCAGACAGTTTAGATGTCGTTATTCCATTATGTTGTTACAGTGACAGGCCAGAAATCTAACCATCACTAACCACGCGTGACGGGAGGGGAAACAGAATAAATGTTCACGGCGGTTCTGGTCTTGTTGACAACACACACCAACAAGGAGCTCGTCCTGTAACCTTCTCTCTCCTTGTTTCAGAGAGGAGCTCGCCATGCGTCTGGATCTCACCGAGGCCCGCGTGCAAGTAAGTGCTTTTTATTTGAATCGTTTTATTATTTCTGGTGAGTTATCAGAGTTATATGGCGCTGGATGACGTGCACAGGCTGTAAGGGAGGGGGTGTATTATGGCAATAATTTATTATGGCGGTGAAAACGCGTTAAAAGGAGCTTTTTGCTGTTATTGGAGGCTGCCTGTGCGTTTTAGTGGCAATTAGAGGCTCACTTAGATGCAGGAGCAAACACATCTCCCATCAGAAGTGTGTGTGTGTGTGGGGGGGTGAAAGATAAGGAATGGGTGCGCGTGAATCAGATCTGAGAGAGGGGGGAGGTGGGGGAGACAGAGGGGAGGGGATAATGCTATTTGATTTCCCATTATGTGATTGCAATAGACCTGCATTGATCCGATGCTTTGCAGCTCCAGAGCGAATGAGAGACCCATTAAAGATGTTTGTGACCCCCCACCCCCACTCACCCCCTCCCTCCTCTTTGCCTTGGACTCCTGTCCACAGAGACAGTTCAAACAGTCCCAGAGAGGTGAGACAACAGATGTCTCTTTAGGTGAACAAATCACTTAACGGGCGCCATCGGGAGGTGATAAAAACTCATAAATTCCCAGAGGGGGCTGTGTGATGCTAAACAGCCCCTCTGGGCGTGCGTGCGCGTGCGTGCGCTGGCGTGTGTGTGTGTTGCTGTTCCACATGTTGACATTCTGCTCCGTGCGCGCACTGGACGCATGGCGGCTGCGTGGGAAAGTTAAATAGCCCTCGTTCCGCTGCTGAAGGATTTCATTTGATTGTTATTGGAGCCAGTTCGGTGGTAATTTTCAGGATCTTTTGTTAACGATGCTCTTAATTATGTCCCCCCCACCCCTCCCTGACTGGGGGGGGGGGGGGTTCAATTAGACAGAAAGTAGATTTAAGGAGGCTGCAGGGTTTAATTACTGCTGACTTTTCCGCCGCGCACCTGAACTAGACAACCAGAGGCGTATCTAGGGGGTGGCTGACCCTGTTGTAGAAAACCTTTATCTTGCCACCCCAGTTGCCACCCCAAGGGGCGAGGCGTGTCAAAAACAAGCTCAGTTAAACGTGTGCGTCGATAAAGTGGAAACCATTTACAAACTTTTACGTTTCAGTTTTTCTGAGAGTTTAGCTGAAAAAGTCTCGACTTCCAGAGTTTATACAAACGTAGCCGTCATCAACGTTCTTTTAACTTAACACTTATTATAATTATAGTGATTTAGCAACTGTTTCCCATTACTCAATTTTGTTTTAACAACCGCGATCGTTCTGCTTTGTTCTTAAAGCTGAAACATTTTACACAAAAGTATCAGACGGTAAATTAATTCAATAATTTACTCATTTTAAATAATGTACAACTAGAAACACACGTTTCCCCAGTAGATATATATTTTTATAAAAATACATACTGGGGAAAAATTAGGATGTTATAAAATTTATAGCATCCTCGTCGGAGTAACTATAATATTTTACATTTTTTACAGTCCTTAACATTTGCACAGAACTTCAAATCTGTGGTTCAAAATGGTTTTAAAGTTTTAAAACCAGTTACAGGCGCTTATTTTATTTATTTTTCCCTCTGAAGCAGCTTTAGTCACAGTTTCTTTAATAACGATTCTAAAAAATTAATTTGTTCCTTTTTGTTTTCAAGTATTGACTGAAGTTGCCGTCGAACAGAATCATATTTTTAATTTTGTCGTCTTGTGAAAGTGAAAAACCTCGCGTTCTGTTCAAACGACATTTTATCGACTGTTTCACCTCAAATACTTTTGAATAAAAATATTTAAATTTAATAAATGGTGTTAAAATGAACCTGAGCCCTCTCACCAAACATTAAAGTGCTGATGTTGTTTTATGTCATTTCTGTAATAAATGAATGGATAAATGACAGAAATCCTTTTAATAAAAAACAAAACTTGTTAAGATAAAATATTTGTTTCCTCCGTGGACCGATGTCAAGTCACCCTTAAAGTTTAAAGTTTGAAATAAACCAGAATAAACGGAGTTTATCAGAAGTAGGAGATCTCAGATCGTTCCAGAACTGACGTATAGAAACTGTACAGTCGTCTTGACGTCACCGGGTCAGAGGTCAGAGGTCACAGGTCCAGTCCATTCGTCTTCATTGAAAGAAATAACTGAACATGTCTCGGTTTAGGTTTGGTTCCAGAACCGCAGGGCCAAGTGGAGGAAGCGTGAGAAGGCCGGGGTGCAAGCCCACCCCTCGGGCCTGCCGTTCCCAGGCCCGCTCGCAGCAGGCCATCCTCTCAGCCACTACCTGGAGGGGCCCTTCCCTCCCCACCCCCACCCAGCCCTGGAGTCCGCCTGGACGGCCGCTGCAGCCGCGGCTGCCGCCTTCCCGGGCCTGGCTCCGCCGCCTCACAACAGCTCGGCTCCCCCCCTCGCAACCCCGCTGGGCCTGGGCACCTTCCTGGGCACGGCCGCCATGTTCCGCCACCCCGCTTTCATCGGACCCACTTTTGGCAGGTGAGTTGTTCTGACCCCCCCCCCCCCCACTCTGCCACATAAATTAATCAAACGTGTGATCGTGCGACCCAAGCTGTGAAACATTTCACACGTTAGCAGCAGTGAACAAGTTTACAGGAATTAAACTGGTTCAATTTAAACTTCCAGGCTTTTCTCCAGTATGGGGCCCCTGACGAGTGCTTCCACCGCTGCGGCTCTGCTCCGACAGCCCGCGCCCCCCGTAGAGAGCCCCTCGCACGCCGGCCCCGTCCTCCCCGACCCCTCGTCGTCTTCCTCCTCCTCGTCCTCCTCAGCGGCGGTGGCGGACCGCCGGGCCTCCAGCATCGCGGCGCTGCGCCTCAAGGCCAAGGAACACTCGGCTCAGCTCACGCAGCTCAACATCCTGCCCACCGGAGCTGCAGGGAAGGAGGTGTGCTGAACGCACGACACCTGCCCCCCCATTCCATCACCACCCCTCTGGAGGCTGACGCCCCCCCACCCCATGTTCCCCAACAAAAAGCACGACCAAATGCAGCAGATTGTGTCTGATAATTACATCATCCTGACAAGAACGTTCAAAATATACATTTATAGATTTTTCTAAAATTTATCGACACCCCCCCGTTTGATTTAATTCTTGCTTTTACGTTAGTAAAACTAATTATCTTTTAACTCCTGCATCACGTTTTGCTCCATCACTCATGGAAACTGAACATTTGATTTATTTTACTCCAACATGCTTCGTGTGGGTTGAGCTGGTTTTAACAAAAGGCGAGACGTAGGACCCCCCCCCCCCCACACACACACACACACACCTCCTGAACCAAAGGAAAATGTCCATAGACCTTCCACAAGCCTTCTCTGACTCGTCTCCTGCTCGTCCGTCCGGCAGCACCTGAATAGTTTGAACACGATGCAACTCTTCAGCGCAGACTCCAGGAGGTCGAGCAGCCGAGACACAAAGACCTGACTGTGAGAGAAAACTGTAAATACTGTGCAGAACACACAAAAAAACAAGAGTGGGGTTCAAAAAGATGCTTTTCAAAACCAACGTCGTGTTTTGATGATTCGCACTCGCTGTAGTGTGTCGCCGAATGTGTAGAATTCCACCTGTGTTTATGAATTATTAGGTTTTTAGATAATTATTTATGTCAAGGGCAAGTTAAGTGAAGCGGGAGTTGTTTCCTTTAATGAAGTGCTTGTAAGTTTCCTGGCTTATTAATTTGAATAAATGAAGTTGGTAAACTGAGTTATTCTTTAAAATTATTTTAAGTTGGGAGAACTCACCAGATTCTATTAATGAACGGTGCAAATAAAAAAGACCTGCTTGGTTTTACGCTCGACATTCTTTTCTTCTTGAGGAGGAATGCGTGTGCGTGTGTGTGTGCGTGGAACCGAACGCTGCGTGCCTCAGCTCAGTTGACAAAACACTAACCATATATTCATGAGTTTAATCCCCTGCGTGTGAAACGCACGACAAAGGCGAGGGGTTTCAATTAGAGCGCCCACTTTAGCTTCATCTCGCCGGGCGGCGTCACAACTGGACCAGAACCCTTTAATGGCGCTAAACTGGTGTTAACATGTGTAACCCCGTGTCGGTGGAGGAGAGGCCTCTTTGTCATTAATGAAGTAACAAACCACTTCATCAAACGCCTTTCACTCACGCACAACCGTCGACTTAATCCCGCGCTCTGACGCAGCATCAATGCTTATCCTCCTCCGTTTGACCCACCTTTGGTGCCCGAGCAAAGCGCGTGAAATTACTCCGCGGATTAATGTAGTCCCTTTTTTATTATATTGTCTGCATCTGTGAAAACCCTAATTCCTCCAGCAGCCCCCACACCTGCTAATCACTTTATTTTACCTTCAGAAAGAGCGAGTTTTGGCTGAAAGGAGAGAAAAACAGAACAATTTGCTCCTGGATGATCTGCAGAGCTGCTTTCATGTGTTTTTACCCCCATAGTGTTGTTTGATGAGATTGTCCGGGGAGGATTTAATCTTATTGTGAACATAACTAATGAATGGCAAACCAATTTGTCTGTAATATGTGGGGTGCCAGGAGGCAGATGACCTGCTGGGAGCGAGGCCTAAACTTCCTTTGCTGCGCCAAAAAGGCGAGAAAATTGAAATGCGTTGGATTTATGAAGTCACACTTGTTGGATGAGCTCCTCCATCCCTGCGCTCAGCTTCCTTACTGCATGAATGAGCACGGTAATGAATGTTGATGCATATAAAACGCTGTTTTCCTGGAAAAAAAAAAAAGAGTTGTGGGGGGGGGGGGGGGGGGGTGCATGATTTGGTGGATTGTGCGAAGGTGCCGGGCCTCACACTTCACAGGTAAATCCAGGTAAAAAAAAAAAAAAGATAGAATAAAAAAGTCCGCCCACTGACTTGTCTGCCCATTTTCATCACCGCCTCTTCTCCCATCGGACCTGATTTGGACCTGATTTGGATTCTCCCGGGCCTCTTTCTCCCACCACGTCCCTACCTCAGAGAATAGGCCAAATCACTCCACAGCCTCCACCGGATAAGTCCTCACTCAGTCCCCGGGAGAGGAGAGGAGCTCTAAAAGGCGCTTTGATGAACAGCCCCCCCTCCCCTCCCACCTCCCACTATAGGCAGAGAACAGGCCCCCGATGAAAGAGCTGAAAAGCGGAGCCGGGGCTCCGCGCTCCCCCCTCTCGGCGCGCCCCTTAATTCCTCTTCTCTCTTGCTCTCATCCAATTAGCTCCGTGTATTAAGCGGTTTATCGTCTCATAACGTCCTTTCAGCTCCAACAAGAGAGACACTTTGCAATAGGACCAGCTCTCCTTTGACACCCTCTCCGGTGCTCGTACGAGCCGCGGCGCCATGAATACCGGCCACAGAATGGAACACTAATTCCCTCATCAAAGCCGCCTTGTCCAGCGCTGGTTCAAAACGACGAGCAATAAAGATTAACGGGACAATCACAAAGAGACTTGTTCGACCTTATTAACTTAGCAGGGCTGAATTAATGCAGGGACGTTAATTTGACTGGGCTGAGTCCAAACTGGGAGGACCAAAC